CCACACACCCACACACCCACACACCCACACACCCACACACCCACACACGCACACACGCACACACGCACACACACGCACACACGCACACACGCACACACGCACACACGGAGAGCCCCGCAATGCCCGAGTCTTGACTGAGGAGAGGCCATCTCGCAGTTGCAGAAGTCCTTCCTGGACCAGCTGCATTCCGAGATGGATGTGAATGCGGCCGCCGCCAAGGCACTGCTCCACCTGAAGGCCAAGGCCTCCTTAGAAGCCTCCCTGGAAAGCGAGACCTCGGAGGGAGCGGAAGGATCCCCCACAGCTTCTTGGTGGGACTCCGAGTCTTCGCCCATGGACCAAAATGGACAGCATGTCAAGATCTGCGATGACGAAGAGAGGACACCTCTTCGGGCTGGCCCTGTCATGATAGCGACCCCACCCCCCTGTCTCCACAGCATGTCTCTTTTAGTCTGCTGGAGTCCTGGTTGAGAGGGGCTAAGCGCTGAAGCCCCCGGCCCGTGAGCTGACTGCATGCGAACCGGACCACCTCCGGTGAATGGATGCTGCTTGTTTGGGCGAGGCTTCCAAGTCTGAGTTGACCCGTTTTCCCTCTGTGTGCGCCAATGGGCTCACTGGTGACAGTTGCACCGGTGTGAGTGCTTGAGTGCAGACTCGCTTGTGGGCTGGAGGGCAATCTTGTGGGCGGGTCTCAGCAGGAAAGGCGTCCCAAACTAGTTACGGATGGGAGTGTGGGACTGTCTCGACTCCTTCGATCATGCAGTCACACCGTGTGTGGTGACCCAATTCATTGGGAATGCCCATCCTCGCGGAAACTTCCTGTTTGCGTGTCTGAGCTGTCGATGCCGTCTTCAGACAGCCCGGAGGACAATGGAGCGCGACGTGGACGAGTTCGATCTGATGGCACAACGCAGCGCAGCTTTCGAGTCTCTTCCAGAGGACCGGAAGCGAGCCATCTCCTCGCTGCAATCCGCGTTCCTGGCAGCTGGGCCGAAATTACAGTCGACGGAAGCTCCTATTTTTAGCTTTTGGGATGTTTATATTTCTGTTCTTGACACCCCAGGATGCCCTGGACACAGAAGATGTGAATGGCGCGGCCGCAGCGGCATTGAAGCGCCTCCTGTCGAACCCAGCCGGCGAGGATGCGGATAGGCTGGACTCGATGGACAGTCTCAGCATGTCTTCTCTTCTCCGCTCATTCTTCGTTTTTTTAGAGCCTTAGTGCTAGATGCAGATGTCGGTGCGGATGAGGAGTGGTGGCAAGCCTTCGATTTTCCAAATGCTCTTCCAAGAGAAGTTGGTTTCAGAAGAGATGACCGCAGAGAGCCTTGGCTTGGTGAAGTCCGCGGTTGTGCAAAGAACAACAACAAATGGATCAGCGCGCATGACGACGACTACGTTGACGACGACGACTACCGCAACTGCTACCACCACCGCCACGACGACGACGACCACCACCACCACAACCACCTACTGACCTACTGCTACTGCTACAACCACTACTTCACTACTTGTACTACCATGTCTCCTACTACTTCTACGCCTACCACCAATCCACGGCAAACCGCCACCGCCACCGCCACCGCCACCGCCACCGCCGCCGCCGCCGCCACCACCACCACCACCACCAGCAGAAGCAGCAGCAGCAGCAGCAGCAGCAGCAGCAGCAACAACTGCAACTGAACTCCTACTGCTGCTGCTGCTGCTGCTGCTGCTGCTGCTGATCCTGCTACTGCTCCTGCTACCTTTACTGCTACCGTTACTGCTGCTGCTACAGCTCCTGCTAGTGCTAGTGCTAGTGCTACTGTTACTGCTACTGCTACTGCTGGTGCTGCTTGCTGCGGCAGCTATGACTACGGCTGTGGCTGCCGCTATAGCTGCTGCTGCTACTGCCGCGGCTACTGGTCGGACACGACGACAGCGACGACGATTGCCACCACTGCCACCACTGAAAACATGATCACGTCAAAGGACGGGAAGCCTCGACGCAAAGGTGGAGGCGCTGAAGGCATAGCCGAGATGCTCACTTGGACATGTTTGTGGACCTTGCATCGTGATTATCACTTACCTTTTTGGCAAGAAAACGAGACGTCATGCATTGGAGGCCTGAGTTGCAGTTGACATCAAGATATTGTAGCCACTGGCATCAGCTCAATGATGGTAAAGAGTTCGAGTGCCGTTGACGTGGTTCATGTAATCGCTGCAGCTGAATCAGGCTTCATGTTACGTTTTTCTCAATCTACGGGCAAAGATTCGCCGAAAAAATGTGGGAGCCTTTGGGACAGGCCTGGAGCCTTTCCCTGCAGAGGGAGGCCCAGAGCGCCGAGGATGTGACCGGCGCCGTAGCGGCGGCCTTGCTGCTCGAGCTCGCTTTAACAAACCGAAGGGTTCCAGTCAGGAGAAAACTTCACATCAGTGTCACGGATGTGGTGTGCTGGGATATCACCGAAAGGTTTGTTGCTTGAATGAGGAGGAAAGAGGTTGAGGCACCCTTCCCACCTAGTGATCCAGCATGGCTCAGGCTGCGTTTGAGCAGATCCGCGAAATGATCCACGGCCACCGCGCCGCAGCTCTGAAGGTTGAAAATGGCTTTCGCAAGACCGCAAGATCTCGGTTTCTTTTGTAGGGTCCCCGTCCCAGGAACCTATCACTTGAAAGACTGCTAACTTCCAACAGACCCTTATGCTCCGCAGGCCTTGTAGTCCCTAGCGGCATCTTTTGTCTGGCAGCGCCAGCTAATCCCACGTGCTTGACCCATACGTATCACTGTACAGAATACGAAAGATAGATGCAGACACGTGCTGCGTGGTGCCCTCGACACTGTTCTCCAAAGGAGGCAGTTGCTTTCGGCTTGTGCGCAAGGCCGCGCGCTGCATGGGCGAAGGGCCTTTGTTGCACTCTGAAGGGCATCGGGAGCTGGGCAAGGAAAGAGTCGCAAGGTGTTATAACTCCAACAGCAACGATACCAACCCCGAGCTCCCCTTGGCAGCAGCCCGTTGCTCTGATAGACTGGCCCAGAGAGGCCTGGCGTTCCGATTGCTTCGTAGCTTGGAGACAGCAAGGTGGCCTCAGGCAGCCATCGGAAACCCGAGCCTAATCACCAACGTCACGCGACGACCGAAAGACAAAGAGTGGCGGGGTTGCCGAAGCTGGGTAACGGGTAACTTTGATCGATCTCTGGAAGCGGTGTTCCTTCACCAACTTGCAGCTTACGGCTCATGTCAAGTTTCAAACTATGCCGTCGTTTCTCAGGATTCTGGATTGGACGGAGAAGCGTCAAGTCTCACGCAAAGAAACCAGGAACCCACTCACTAGGACTGGACTTTTGGTCGTCCGCCCGACCATGGTCCTGTCGAAGTCAGCGGTGCCATGCTCAGAGGTATAACGGAGGTTTTGTGTAGCGGGAGAGGTCCTCGACGACTCAACTTCTGATTTTGTCGCGGCCCAGACTTTAGCAATGCAAGGCACGCGATGGCTGCATCGAAGGTTTCTCTCGCTGCAAAGGTCCCTTGGTCAGAGATGTGCCGATGGTAGTGGCGTGGTCATTCTTCATTGCTGATCGAGTGTAGTGTTGCTGCACGGCACGGTGCCCTCATACGCTGTCATACGCCGTCATACGGAGGTCGGCGAGGAGCTTGCGCGGTTTTGGCCAGCTCTTTGAGATGCGTCGGGTCAGCCCTTTGTGACAGCCAGCTCTCCAAGATAGCTCGCAGGTCTGCGGCCACACCGGAAGACCCTTCCCATAGAGATGTGAAGTCTTGTGGGCAACCTGTGGACGGTGAAGTGGCCGGCAAAGCAGAGGATGCCTGGGACTGGCACTCCGACGATGCGGGCGTCGAGTCGTCCATCCCAGCAGTCCGAACGCTGCCCCAGCGACCCAAGATCGTCGATTCCATGAGCACGCGGCTAATGCGCTTCGAGGATCGCGGAGTACTTGGGCGCTCGGTGGCCACACCTACCTCCATCAGTACAGAAGCATCCAACATCGTTAAGGCAGAAATACAGAGCGAGTCTTGTGAGACCGACCATGACTGCCTGTGCATCCCATCCGATGCTTCCTTGCTTGATGGGGTGCGGTTGCTTGTCCTGCATCACCTTGCCAAGGGCGTCGAAGACCCGACGGCCATGACCCCAAGTCAGAAGCAACTTTTCGAGCGCCATGTCAGCCAGTTGGCCGGATATGCAGAACAACTAAAGCAGACCTTGCTGATCTCCCCGCCTTACCTCACTGGCGGAACAGCTTTACAAGAGCCCGGACGAGATGCCTCCACATCCTCCTGCCCAAGTGAAGCACCACGGGCACTGAAACTCAGGGACAGCGAGCTTCTGGAAATTTACCGAGTGGCCCAGCAGGAGGCTGGGAAGGAGGCAGATTGGCGTGGCCTGCCGGATCGAGGGCCCTCCGATGCCTGGCGCTACGAATGGCTTCGTGACTTGAGCCTGGGGGCAGATCGCCGAGGCCAGGCCCCTTGTCCTTTTGCCAACACAATCCATGGATTCGGAGCTGGATTTGTTTTTTCGAAGTCGCAGCTGATGCCCCGAGGATCTCACCCAAGCAGATCGAAGACACCGCGTGCGCCTCCCGAGCCCCCGGCCGAGCCTCCGGAGTCTCCCGAGGCGGTGCTCTTAAGAGCGATGTCTGTCTGCGCATCGTTCTATGTTTGGTGCTGCCATGATGGCATGGGTCGCGTTCTTGCTGCGCATCCCCGTTGCCAACCCTTGCAGTACTGCGTTTTCTTGAGCCATGCAGTGTAGGTATATTTCGATTCTGATTTCACGAGGCAGGCTGAGGGAGATCGCCGCTGTGAGATGCGCATCTTTGGCACATCTTTGCCTCAGCTGCCCTTGCCACCGCTAGAACGACCCAGCTACGGGGAGGTCGGTAGGTGCAGCGGTTTCACTCTGAGCCTTCGAAGACGGTTGGCAGTGCCCAAGAGGCCACCCTGCTGAGCCTTAGCTCAGTTAATTGCTCAGTTAATTCGCACGATCGGGTTGAGATCCACCGGCAGCATGCTCGTGGATGCCCTTGCCTTGAAGGAAACCGCCAGCTCCTTGCACAGGTACACACAGGAGTCCTCCTACACTGGGTGCTTCAGTCCAAGTTGTGTTGCCATGGCTCCTGGACATCTGCTGTCGCACACGAAATGAACATGAGTCCATCATGTGCCCCAGGGTAGGGACACTAACATGTCTAACCAAACCATAGGTCGTCATCAGGGCAGAACCGGGAAGTGTTTCATGCAAGGCATAGCTCAAAGGGGGCCACAGGGAAGAAGCAGAAGCTTTTTGAGCACCTTGCATCACCGTTGCGAGTGATCCTGTATCTCAGGCTTCGAAGCCTTCCGCTACTGGGAACTGAGGGTTGCCTCGCCATGAATGAACTTGAACCGCCTCCTTGCACCATGGCCTGACGCCTCCTTTCATGGGAAAGGCGGGCCGGGCCGACTGTCTGAACCCTTCTGAGCCCTTGAATATGGAAAGCTCAACATGAGTCCACCTCCAGCTCCCACAATGAAAGTGCTGCAGGCGAAGCATCAGGTCACAGCCGACGGGCGCTGCAAGCGCGAGCGCAAGAAAGATGCAACACGGGAGGAGGTCACATGACAGCGACTGTTTGGGAGAAATTAGGGTAATTAGGGGCTTCAATCTTCTGGTCAGGTGATCGAATCCTGGAGATGCGACCAGTGTACCTTGGAAAACGATCGCTTAAGCCCACCCGAAGCAGAAAAGCAACCGTCAAAGCTCTTCCTTCAGCAACAGTTTTGGCCGCCTCCGATGCTTGGTCTGCTGGCACTCTCATGTCCTCTGAGGCAACTTCGAAAATGATGCCTCCTTACCCTTCTGCCGCTTGCCAATTCCATGCAGATGACCTGAAGTGCATGTTGGCTATGGCAGAGATTTGGCCACGAAGGCGAGATGTGTGGTGCGTCGCGCAAAGATCGCTCCTTGTCTGACAACCATCCCTGTGGGCATGTTACACGTACTGCGCAAGCGACTGCCCTCCGTACACGAGGTCAGGCAGGTCGGATCAGGCTGTTCGAGTGACAGGACAGTGTGCATATCAGAACAAGCTTTAAGAGAGACTCAGAGAGACATGTACCAGCGGCGCACATTCTCCTGAACGATAGATCATGCCTGGCTGCCTGTAAAGTATGACCCAGGGCTCAGACTTGGTTGCTCAGCCAATACTGGTACTTCCTGGCTTGTGTTGCTCAGGCGAAGAGGACAGCGACGCATGGCAGCATAAAGTCCAGGGTCTCATTGGGCTCCAGCTTTTTGAGAAGGCTATGACTCAGCTTGTCAGACTCTACAGGCTTTGCCTATGTAGACGACTCAGGAAGGCGACGACATTGCGGAATGGATCCGTGGCAGCAACCAACCCTGTTTGTTGGGCCATAGGGGGAGTTTCGGGGCGCCTACCTGCGGAGAGCAGTAGGCTAACGACTTCGTCTTGTTCCCGACATGGGAAGTTGTGCAGATGCTCAGCCCGAGCTTTCGCATGATAGACCCAAGAAACGGTGCATGTCCCCCGATCCTGAACAGGGAGAGACTCGAGTCAAACAGAGCACCGAAGGAAAGGCAACTCTCCGATTGTCAGGTCCTGCAACGTCTGCTCTTTCAAGAACATTGGGCTTTTGCCTTACTGTGAAGTTTGCGAGGCTGGCTGCATGCCATTTCGAGAGCCCGAACCGGGAGAAGCCACAAACGTTCGGCTGCCGCACCCAGTTGCGCATCACTTTGCCCGTCAGGCACCTCGATCTGGCTTCTCGGCGGAGAGTGGTAGTCGGACAGGATGAGTCGCTGGGTCCGCTAAGCCCATCATGATTCTGCAGATTTCTGCAGCGAGGCGGCGACTCCTCAGCGGCTGCATCTGCGGAGGCTGGGCCCCGGCGTTGCGACTTGGCATCTGCAGTGCCTTGCCTGGGCAGGCTGAGTGGGAGTGCCCGCTTTGCTCCTTCCGCAACCCGAGCCATCGGACTGCGTGTGCGCATCCTGTCAGCAGAGTCATAGCAGAGTCTGGTACATCGGTTTTGCCATCGTGCTTGTGAGTGGATCTGGCAAGCGGAAAGCATTCACCCGAGGATGTGCAACGCCCCACGCCCGGCGGCAGCACGGGCTACGCCCGCAACGGGTAGTTGAGCACTCAGAACGGAAAGACACATCGCGAGTCGCTGCGCTCGAAACTGGGGTATTTGAGGCAGTGCGTCGCAGCCTGCTCCAGCAGAGCCCGCAGAAGAAGAAGAGCCGGCCCCCTGCACAGATGAGGCCTGCGTTTTTGGCTTCACAACACCTTGGGTGGACGAAAGATGGGCCTTCATTGCTTACTCTGGCGAGAGTCGAGCGACACCAACTCCAGCTCCTGACTCATGCGAGGTCCGTCCCGGGTTCGCTAAAGCCGTCATTTTTCACTGGCGAGGAGCGCCGGCTGCTGATGTCCATGGGTTGGAACCCCGAAGATGGGGATGAAGAAGAGGGGCTGGAGGACTGCTTCAGCTGAGGCTTCGGAGCAGGGCATTCGTTGAATGATCTCTGTCTCAGGACTGGGAGATCGATGCCGCTCAAGAGACTCTCGGCGTCATCAGAGCCTTTCATCGAAGCTCGTCGCCTTGACATGGACCCCACTCTCCCAGCCGTAGCCGTGCTCAGGAATCTCATCGGACGGGTGCAAGCGAGGGCAGACCGCGAAGGTTTGCGAGAACGAGCCCAGCGGGAATTCGAAGCCTGGAAGGCCCAGTGATCCCTGCAATTGGGCAGCAAGTGGCTGTGCAAATTTGCATCGGCGCTGGCAACTTCTGCTGTGAACTGAGGCAAGCTGCTCTTTGGTGACAGCCGGCACTTGTTTGGTCTCACTCGTACCGTAGTGCGCTCGCTGCGAGTTGGGAGTAAAACACCGACGCTTCGGTCCGGTCGTGTAGCTTCCAGTAGTGTGCGAAGTCAGAAAGACCATACTCCCGATACTCGAATTGTTCATGAGTCTGACCGCTGGCGATTGTCCAGAGCGTGTTAACGAGTAACTTCAGCTGTTGGATGCGCAGCCGAAGACAAAAAAGGTGCTTCTGCTCTGTTGTGAGCATCTCGGTAGGCCTGCAGAGCGGGACTCTCTTGGCGTGGGGGTCGTTTCTCCAGGATGCCGCTGATGGCTTCCGCATGTATTGGCCCCGGCCCCAGATCTCGACGGTCGAATCTCGGTCGAAAGAGCTGCTCCTGCGACTTGGTGGCGAGCTGCTTTCGTTCTTCTGGCGCGCAGCTGACGCTCTCCACGCTGTTGCTGCCGGTTCAGGAAAGTGCAGTGCGCAGAGCAAGCAAATGCAAAGACAACTGCAACGCCACACCAGCTAATGGGCAAGTGTCAACTTTTGCTTTCCGCTTCCCCAGCCTGGTTTGATCGGATGCGCCGCAAAGTTTCCGCGGCGGACCCTTCCATGGATGTGGCCTTGGCACCTCGGGGCGACGAGGAGGGTAGCAGCGAGGAGCAGAAGTGTGCCCGAGCTGCATTGGGCAGTGCTGCTGCCATCTCATGCAAAGCTACTCGAATGTTCGTCTTAGGCCCAGGCGCCTCCTTGGATAATCTTTGGGTTCCCGGCCTCTCGGCTTTGAGAAGGGTCTCTCACCGGGGTCGATCTAAACTTGCCTCCTTCAAGGAGCGCTGGTTCTCGGTGTGGTGGTAGGCTCGGGGACGCTCGTGGTGATTTCGAAGAGTTGAAACAAGAGTTGCTGACAAGAAGCCGATATGCAGGGCTCCTGCTTCCTGCCAACGAGCCTGGCTGGGGTGCGCGGACTTCGGAGGTTTTGGGCTGGACCTACTTCTTCGCTTGGTCGGCTCCCCATTCACGGCGTATACGGAAACTCTCTGACGTCGTCAACGCCACAGCTGTAACTTGGTGATAGACATATCGGCAACCAAGGTCCGTGTCGTTCTATCCACAGGTTTGTGCCGACTTGACGGCTGCAGATTTTCCTGCTGCGCTGCAGCGATTGCCTTTGGCTGCCAGGTTTTCTTGAATATTCGCAGAAGAAGCGTGGTGGGCCTTTCGCTGGACTACCAGTGCCTTTGCGGTTGTTTCGTTGTGGAGCTCGCATAGGTCTGCTGAGTCTACTGAGCTGTTGCCTGCTTCCTCGCTTCTGCTGAGGATTCTGAATGCCGTTTCTCAGCTTGAGAAGCAGTTGAAGAGGCATAGCCTTAGCATGTCTTGCATGTATGCTCATTAGCCGAGTTTGGCTTTGCTTGCTACTTCCTCTTCAATGCGCTCCTGTTTTGGTCGCCGGGCATTCGAGCGGCCTACCGCCAGAGCCATCACGGGCAGGACGGCCACCCGGTTTGGTTGTTCTGGCTTGCCTGCAAGGTCAGCAGCTGCATGAACTGTGCAATCTTGCGACGACTCAGCCAGGACAGTGCTGTGCGACTCAATGATGTGGTCTTTGCCGGCCATGCTTTTTTGATCACACTCATAACCCTGGCTCAGATAGGCGGGCATCCAATGCTGCAATTTTGTCTTGACTGTTCCCGGCATGCTGAGACGAGACTAGCAGACCGACGAGCTGGATTGCAGTTTGCAGAGCGACCGACTGCACCTTTTCTTCGCAGCTCTGTCTTGCTCAATAGTGGGGTGTGTCGTTGCCCGTTGCCATCTGGTGAGGCAGGCTTGTTTTGTAGGTCCTGGCCAAGCTTCGGCAATTTACCCAACATCTCCTGGCAGGCCAGCGATCATCAGCGATGGTTATCGCCAGGATGAGCCATTTCTTCCAAGCTCGATCCAAGTCTGTGCTGCACTTCCTAGCTGTCCTCCTGAGCCTCAGGCAAGTTGGAGCCTCTCCCACCCAGAGCCAGGCTCAAGTGGCCAGACCGCGTACGGCTCCCAACTCAGCTGCGGCGGTGCCTCTGCCAATTCACCTGGGCGCCTCTGCCGGAAGCCCTGGTGTCTATGTGCCTGTGCAGCTCGTGGGCGGCCTCCAGGGCACCCCGAGTTCTGCGGCCGGAAATCTGTGGACATGGGCCGGCGCCTCAGAGAAGCTCGTGTCGGAAAACATCTCAAGGCAGCACTGGATGTTTAGAGCAACCATGCGAGTCGGTCCGAGGTCGTGGCAGCTACAGGAGCTGCTTGGCATGGAGCGAGACAGAGCCACGAGCCGCGGCAACCGCGGCCGGTTAGGCGCAGCCAGAACGTGGTGCCGAATTTGAATGTCGGCACACACGCCGCTGAAGAGGAGGGCTGGCAGACAGCCAGTGAGGATGAGGAGGAGACTTGGCAGGCGCCAGATCCTCAAACCCACGTCCAGTCCAACCTCTTCCAGCCTAGCTTCTCCAACATGTTCCCTGACGGCATCCCGGAAATGATGCAATTGCAGCAGGCCCCGCATATGCCACAGATGCTGCATATGCCACAGGGGCCGCACATGCCGCAGATGATGCCAATGGTCATGGTTCCAGTGCCACTGCGCGCTAACGCCAATGTGGAGCCTCTCGCCGTGCCTGAGAGTGAGGCCCGAGAGCCTCGAGGACGGGGAGTTGGAACCGCGTCAGGGTCAGGGCCGTCAGCGCCTGGGCCCGTCTCTCCGGGACGTTTGGATCGTCACGTCTCCTCTACACTGTCAGATGCATCCGATTGGGCCTCCGCCGAACAAGCCTCCTTAGCATCTTCCTCAAGCTCAGTTCAGCGGCGCTGGACGAATCGGGACTGCGACTGGGCACTGCGCCAGCTGACTTCGACTGCGAGCGGTCCGAGCCGTGAGCTTTTGCTGCAGATCCTCCAGGATGCATGGATATTGGCGGGCAGCAAGAGCGGCACACGCGTTGTCCAGGCAGCAATGGATGTGGCAGAGGCTCCTGACAAACAGCTCCTAACCAATGTCTTCAAAGGCCGAGTCTGGTACGCCTTGAAGTCGCCACATGCCAACCATGTTTTGCAGAAGATCATTGCTCTAATGCCGCCGGAGAAGATGCAGTTTGTCTTTGAAGAGCTCAGGCCAAATTCAGGATCTTCCTAGAATGGAATTGTTGAACACAGAAACAACAACAGTACCAGCTACTGCGCTTTCTCAGAACGCTTGACATGGTTCTTTCTAGCACCTGCTGTTTCTTCAAGGTTTTGCCAGCCCGGCTGAGACCTCTTGTGCCCATTTTCGTGCTGATCATCACAAGAGCTACGTTTCGAGTGATGTATTTCGGCCCTGGCAGATGGACGCATGTTCGTACTGTCTGCAGGGGCGGTTGTGGAGGTCGGGGGTCGAAGCACAGCGGTTTGCGGCGCATAGGCTCCCTAGCGTTATACAGTTTGGAAACATCCGCATCACAGTACGCCTTTCGCAAGGAACTGGCTGGACGCGTGGATGAGGCTGCCAGGTGCTTTGTCCAAATGCGCGCATTGCTTGTTCCTAGTGGTTCAGGGTTCTGGCCAAGGTGCAGTGTTAGTGTATGTTAGTGTAGAAGGGTTAGCTTCAGCAGGGCGGCACCCTTCTCCCAGATGCAAGAATGGTGGGAACAATAAGAAAGAGATACCGACTGTAGAATCTCCGCCCCTAGGCACCCTTTCGGATGTCGTGTCCTGGAAAGACTCCTCGAGCATTGTGGCACTTCGCAAAGCGACGTCTTGCTCGACGAGCTGTTGCATCTCGGCAGTCCCCTCGATCCAAAGCATCCAAGCTTCTGTGCTTGTCCGAAAGCCAGGGAGATTGCATTTACAGGCGCTGATTCTGCCGGAGACAGGTGGCAGTTGTGTCATTCGAACCACACGGCCGGGCATTGGCTCAAGAACGCATGTTTGAGTTTCTCCGCCAGTTGGAAACGCCATGTCAGGTAGCATTAGTCCTGGTGAAGAGAGTCCGAAGCTACCTGGCGATTGGTCCTACGAGTTTCAGAGGCTACATGCCATCCTGGAACAGCAGTTCGCGAGGCAGCATGAGCTCTTGCGGGAGGTGCATAATCAGGTGAGGATGGGTCAGCATCGGATCCCGCCGGCACCTTTGCTCCCGATGACGGCTCGCAAGACCAGCATTCGCTCCTCGGTGATCCATGAGGACTCAACGTACATCGATCAGGACCAAACGTCTCAGGAGACCACCCATGAGTCCGTCAACGTCGGGTTTGCAGAGCCTGTCCTTATTGGCTTCGGAGAGACCGCGGAGAGTCCGACTGAAGAGGAGGAGGACATCACCAGACAGAATGAGAATCACCCTTACCAGAATAGGCCCAAGAGAGGAAGGGTACAGAGGCGCGACAGTGCACGCCACTCCTTCGTGCGCCGCACGCTTCAGGCACACCAGGAGAAGGCCGACAAAGAGGCCTCGAAGTTGAAGTATCTAAGGTCGAGAAGCACCTTGAATATTCCACCGGAGCGTAGCTGGCTGGCCCAGCAGATCGCAAAGCTTGTGGCCACAAAAGGATTCAGCAACGCCATCATGATCCTCATCCTTTTGAACGTCATCTTGCTCGGTGTGGAGGTCGATGTTTCAACTCTGCTTGGTCAGAATGACGTGCCGAAGTGGTTTGGGACAGTGAACACTATGATTGTCATGCTCTTTGTCGGGGAGGTTGCTTTGAAGTGCATTGCTGTAGGCTTCGCGGAGTATTGGTGTGGCCACGAGGCTTGCTGGAATGTCTTTGATGCCTTGGTCATCACCGTGTCCGTCTTCGAAACGGTTATCGATATCTGGGCACAGTCCATGTCCGCAGATGTTGCGAACTCCAGTCACCTGCGAGTAGTCCGAACGATTCTGGCTTGCACTTTGAAGTCCTTTTGTTCGAGGGGTAGCTAGTGCCACTCTAAACAGTCCCCAAGCGCTCAGGATTCGGCTTGCTCGCGCCTTGCGAGGGGTGCGTGTGGTGCGGCTGTTTCGCTATGTCAGCGCGTTGCGAACCCTGGCCCTCTGCATTGTAAGCACAATCGGATCACTGATCTGGACCTTGGTGCTTTTGGTCTTGTTGTTCTACACCTTTGGCGTCATTTTGACACAGCTTGTGTCGGACCATTGCAGGGATCAAGTTGTCATGACGACTGGAGATCTGAACGCGGTGCCTCAGTGCCCGGATGACTTGCACAGGTATTGGGCGAGCGTCCCCGAGAGCATGCTGACGCTTGTCATGACGGGTAGTCCAACAGCAGGGCTTGTTCAATCCTAGTCTGAAGAGCCCGTCAAAGTTGTGGGAGTTGGTTTTGCGACGATATGAGAAGTCTTTCGAAGAAGCAAAGCCAGTTTTGCATTTCTATTATCCCGGAGTTCCGGTGCAAGTGTCCCGAATAAGAAGTGTCCAGAACAACCACCGACCACTTGTCAGAGACCCAACACCGAGGACACTCTTCCTAGCCATCTCTGGTGGAATGAGCTGGGAAGATGCTTTCGGTCCGCTCCGGACGGCTTCAGAGTTGGCTTGCGCCTTCATGATCCTTTACATCGTCATTGCTGTGTTCGCAGTATTGAACGCCACCGGCTCAGTTCTGAAACTTGAGTTTTTGAGTATGGGTCTGTGTCTACAGGCACAGAACCTGCAAGGCGCTGCAATAGTATGGAACTCGTTGATGTTCCGATTTTCAGATCGTACTTTACATAACCGCCTTCGGTCGGGATCCTTTGCTTCAACCTTTTCCGCCTGTCGAGGGTGTCGAGTAACGTTTCTTTCCCCGAGAAGTCCTGCCAAAAGGAGTTTCGATGGATAAGGCAAGCATGCAGGTGGGGAGAACCGTTCAAGGAGATGATCAATACTCGACGGTGCGTGTTGATGAGTGGTTGGGAACAGCATCAAAATTCTGTACATGCGTTGATCAGAACCCGGATCCTGATCTCCGGGCCAACCCCAGTAGCAGGTCAGCGGGGGCCCTGACAGGCAAGTACCCATCACCGGCATCATACTCCCGAACACCATTCTGAAAGTTCACCGGGTGGGTTTGCAAAACGGGCAATCAGAGCCGGCTTCCTGGGCATTATCCGCCCGAGCAGCACTGCACCCCACACCATGAATGTAACGGTTCGGTTCGGTGCGGAGCTGCCCGCGGTGGAGCCTTTTCGGCCTTGAGTCGATCCAAATCCTGGACCCCCCCCTGCGTGGCCGGTCGGTAGGGCCAGACGCTTGGGAGTCCAGCGCTTCGCACTTTTGGGCGGCCGGGCCTTTCGCACTTTCGGGCCTTATTAGTCTGCCGGCATCCTGCCCTCGCCGGTCGGGCCGGACGCGGGGGAGTCCAGGGTTTCGCACTTTTGGGCCCTACGTCGACCAGTAGTCCCTTACCTGGATGCTTTTGATGTTCGAACGGGGTTGCTGGAATGCGACTTAGACGCTTCAGAGGATCCCATATCACGGATGCCTTCGATGCTGGATTTTGAAGCTCTTGAATGCCGTTGTTCAACCAGATCCAAACATGTTTCCGGCCGTAAATAACAGAAGAATGGATTCCTTCGCAGGAGGCCAGAAGGTTCCATGTCTCTAACAAGGCAAGCTGGGAGCCGACTTGACGGCAGGTTCGCGGTTCGCGGTTCCTAAACCGGGTTCGGTTCCTTACCTTTCATGTCACTAGTAATGACGCAGAGCTGCATCGGACTGACAAAGCAGCCACGCATCACATTGCGCAAACAGTGACGGTGTTACTGCTTGGCAAGGAGGGTTGGGGGACATAGTAAGTAGGTAGTATTTTTTCATTCAACTGATAAGCACCCTAGAACGGATCTTTATTGGGGTTATGATACTTATAACACTGTAAGCTGACTACTTTCTAAGTCCCCCGAGCTTCCAAGCGGCCATAGCAGGAATTTGTGAAAGAAGCCGAATGACCCATCTTTCACGCAAGTCATGCTGAAGTTTCTTGACATCCACAGGAAAGTCGGGCAAAGAAGGGTCAAGAGAAATGCGTGTGTGCAGAGCAGCGTGGGGAAAGGTCGACGGACCCTCAACACTCCAGTTGAGAGTGTAGAGTAACCTCGCAAAACAGTCGCAACGAGAGTTGTGGACGAGAGCGTAAAGAAGAAGCAGCACCAACCAATTCAGCAATCGTATGAAGCGAGCATCACAAGAGAGACCCCACAACATCTTTGCCAACTTCTTGCTGATTGCTTTCTTGCACCACCTCGAATTTCTGGTTCATGTCTATTGACAAACGCTGATTATGTGAACTGCGCCTCGTGCTCCTGTATTACACAATGATGTGTCATCTTGTTTGTTTCCCCGCAGGTCGTAACAGGTGTCTTCTGCACAACAGCGATCGAGTCTGCGAACGCTGACAAGGACATAGCAGCGATCAAGCAGCTCCACAAGCAAACGACGCATGTTCAAGCTCTTCGAAAGATCTTTCATGAGATTGATGCAGACCAGTGCCATGTGGTAAGCATCGAGGACCTCAGGGATGCCATATCGAAGAAGAAGCTTTCGAGCTTCCTGGAATCCATGGGTATTTCGACTGAGGACCTCTGGACCCTTTTCATGACCATGGATGAGGACCAGACGGGCCTTGTCGGCCTGGAGGAGTTTGTCACCGGTTGCATGCAAGGTCGTGGTCCCGCCAAAAACCTCCAACTGGTGAAGATGAGCTACGAAAACAAAGTCACGCGTCAGGCCATCAAGAAAATTAGTGTTCAGCTTGCTGAACTGAGCAGATACCTGGTACTCCTTCGCGCCGGCGGGCTTCCCCAGCCCGAACCGGTCACCGTAAAACGCACTGTTGTCCCGCTGTAGGGTTTTCCCGCCGACACTTATCGTGTCAACTTTACATCCCGTCCACATCTCCAAGAGATGCGCCTGGTTGAGCGTAGTTTGCAAGATGCAGCTGCGGCATCATTTAGTCTTTGGCTTCGGGAAACTCGAAGCTGCTTGAATTTCGCAAAGCTGACAGCGCCGCATCTTTGATCGAAGAAGACTGCCGTCCTTGGTTCCTGTAGCAGCCGTAGAGCCCACGAACCCGCAATCCGTCCATGACCAAGCTGCCAAGGCACGACGTGCCTGACCTGAGCAGGATGCTCGTCAGCACTCGCGGCTCTGTAACGGTGTCGTCGTGAGGCCGTTAGGCCTCGGTGCAGGTTGTGGACGTGAGTTAGGCTGTCAGGGAGGGACAATTGTTTCATCGTCCATGGCAAAGAGTAGCCTCTCCCCTAGTATTCAGCTTTGTCGGGCAGATTTTAGGTCATGATGTCCAGGCATCCATTCGGCAACTACGTGATTCAGCACGCCTTTGAACATGGCTCCTCCTCGGTGCGCAGGCGCAATTCATCCGATGCCTTGCCTCTGTATGCCAGCCTGCAGATAGACAGACAGACCGACGGACAGATGGAAGATGGCATTGTCTGGCTGCGTCTGTGTATGTGTTCGGCATGTTAAACCTTGACAAGGATAAGAACCGAACGCAGATGGAGCAATGACCGGGATGACAAGGTTGCGAGGATGAGAGAAATCACATGCTGAGGATGGTGATGATTACCGAGATGAAGCACAGGATATGAACAGGGATGATACTGGGGGGCGATGGGACTGTTACGATTGATAAAACATGAGGCAGCTGTGAATGTTACAGTAGCATTTGTTTGAATACTGTCACCATCGCCAGTAGCATCCTTAACCCCACCATCAGCGACAACAGCATTGCTTGTACGCGTAGTTTTGTAGTGGGGCTATCGCTGCACCACTACTCCCAGTTACGACCATCGCCATGATCATAGCGGTGATGGCCGTCATTGTGAGCAATAGCGCACTTAGCAGCCTTCGTTTTTTGCTGCTCGGCTTTGTAAGCCGTTTGGCTCGCTCAACGAATGCTGGCTGGTAAATACCGGTGATCATGATGAGTGTGATGATGCTACATGGTGCGGGAAGGTGGCGATGACGACGGTGATGATGAACGCGAATTTGACGTTGATGCTGGTGATGACGACGATGATGCTGATGTTGATGATGGCCCCGCTTGTGATGGTGTTTTTTTGGATGTTGCTGCTGATGATGATTGTGGTGTGAGTGACAATGGCCACACGCAATGCCCATGCCAGGAAGCTCAGTGCGGCCTTGGTCCCAGAGGCTAAACGCCTGGCTCGGCACAAGGTGCCTAAGACGGTCGGCCATTCAGTTGCCTCGTGGTGTGGGTTAGTTCTGGAGCAACACCAAGGCAACAGTGTGAGATCTGTCGTAAAAGATGGTGCCCTAAGGGCTTGAAGCATTGATACAGTTTCTTCGCATTCGCAGTTCTCTTTCCTTGTGCCTGGTGTCTGCTCGTGGAAATCCTTGCAGGTAGCCAGCCATGTGATTGAGTGTGCCCTCGTGCACACCGGACATGAGGAGCGTGCGAACGCAGTCAATCAGAGAGTGCACACAAAAGAGACAACTTTAAGGTCATGGAGAGTAGCCGTAGCCGCAGTAGCCGTCAGAGGGGCTGATGGCAGCAACTGAACAAGCCGCGTAGCCCACTCAAGAACACAGTATAAAAAAAGGGTGCTACATGTGTTCATCACGCTTGCAGCAGCACGTGTCATAATCGACCCAATCGTAGTAGTCGTCGTGTTAACGGCAGTGGCAGCAGCAACAGCAGCAGCAGCGGCAGCAGTAGCAGTAGTAGTAGTAGCAGTAGTAGTAGTAGTAGTAGTAGCAGCAGCAGAAGTAGTAGTAGTAGTAGTAGTAGTAGAAGAAGTAGAAGTAGAAGTAGAGATTAGAGAAGTAGAAGTAGAAGTAGTAGTAGTAGTAGTAGTAGGTACCCCCCCCTACCAACTACACTTGCTCTTAGACATGTTAAGACAACATCCATTTTACT